ACCAGTTGAGTCAGATCTGTTAACTTTTACCAACAGTATTCTTGTAAATTCAGTGCTTTTCCAAGAATACTGTTGGTCAATGAATTTAGTTGCAGTGATGCCCACGCAGACATATGTCTACAACTGATGGCTGACATGTCCTTGAGAACACAGACGCTTGGGGGTCAGATCCCGTACCCGAACGTGATACGCCCCTGTAAACACTCTTTTTAAAATATTTTAATATTTAAACACGAATTGGACATCGTCAAAACTGGGTTTCAAGCAATTTTTACCGGTATGAAAAAATACCATATACCACCAAGTCTCAATAAAGTACTTAATGGTTTTATCGTTGTAACAAATGTCCAATTCGTATTTAAATAAATATTAAAATAGTTTTGATATAGTGTTTACAGACGCGTATCACGTTAGGGGCAGGATCTGACCCGCCAGCATCTGTGCTTGAGAATGCCGTTTAATGTGTTGATGGCATAATAAACACTTGATTAGTCATATATAAGTGAAAATTATTGGGTAAAGATTGAAAATAAAAGAACTTGAAAACAAAACTATTTCTTATTTTATGGCATATAAAATGTCGTTATTCTCAGCAGATTTGTCACAGAGGGCCTCATTTTAGTGGTACGAACACATAGTATCACGAATGATACATTTGGTGCATGCTTAACACGGGTGTTTATCTTTGCTGCAAAGTTTATGCAAAGTTGCAGTAAGATGCATGAATCAGCAAAAGTAACAGAGATATGACAGAAAAACAAGTTACCAAGAAAACCAATGCATTGGTGGGTAGAATAGCATCCCTATTCTCTGAATAGTGGAGCTAAAACTGAAACTCAAGATAATTAAAAAAAACAACTACTTTCTGAAACTGAATTTATTTTTTTCGAAATTGATTAAAATGTATCCATCTGTCTTTCTACCTATATTCTAGGTAATGATGGATTGATCATAATTGTCACAAGTTATAATTAACAAAACTTTATAAACATAATAACATGATATAGGTTCATGAGCTTGAAATAAAGTCTACAAAGACTTGTTATTTTATATCAAACAAGAACTTCGCGAGTCGGACGTGTCGCCTGACAATAGCATAAAAAATTATGTATATAAGCAAATAAGCAATTAGCAAATAAGCAAATTGGCAAATCAGCAAATAAGAAAATTGGCAAATCAGCAATTAGCAAATAAGCTGGCAAATAAGCAAAGTGGCATGTCCCTACCGGCATTCCATAGTATACTGTTCGTCAACTCATAAGTTTCCTTTGAAATGTTAACGCTGAATTTACAGCAACTACATCGTTCTTGTGAAGAGAAATATATATGGCAATATTTCTTCGCATAATAGACATGCATATCGTTATTATGATGACAAAGTTATATTAATATGCGGTTTATAGCTTGGTGTGTAAATAATTTTGTCACGTAAATTTTTAGATAACTATCATTTTTTTCAGGATTCGGCTGTCAGATGCAAAAGATTCCTTAATATCGTTCCTGAAAAAAAACATAATCGATGAAGTATATATACATGAGCATTAACTTCATCCTTCAAAGTTATAAAAAAAAATCAAAGAGCTGCAAGCTCTGTGGCATTTTCTGATCTTTGCAATCTAAATCGTACTGTATATATGTATGTATTTTCCTGTACGAGTATAAATTTGTTTTTATATACTATAATTCATCTTACAGGGCACCGAGATGCAGCGACTGCGTTTAGATATTTTACTATAACAGTTTGAGTTTGATAAATTTTGCATGACTAGAGTTGCATCTTAAAATCATTTATGTTCATTTCTTTATGACAGCCACACTTTATCCTTGCATATCGTGACTACTTCTTTAAATCAAAGTGCCGCAGCACTGAATGCGACGGACATGCAACCGGAGAGACATTAAGGCTTTTTAAACAAAACAAAAAAAAAAACAAAAAAAAACCCACAAAATATATAACAAGAGAAATTTTGTTCCATACAAGTTCGAGATTTGTAGAGCAATATATTTTGTGTCCCAAACTGATATAATTCAGATTTTCTACTTTCAAGCATTTAAATACAGAATGAAATTATGCCTAAAAACTCTGGTCAAACTTGTAAATCAGTGTCCTTATCGATTTATTCCAAGAAATGATATGTAAATAGAAAAAAAACTGTCAACGAAATATTTCTAAAATAAAACCATGCAAATAAACTTCAAGCATAATACATTATACATGTGAGAATGCTATTTAGAATTGCTTCGTATTATATCATAGTGGGCATATAGACAATAAAATATAAGTCATTTGTATTTTTATTTCTCTTGGATATGTCTCATTAAAAATATTTTTGGTTAAAATCATCAGCAATCAATAGTGTATTTTTTAGATTTTTTTTATTTACAAGGTAAAGATGTAGAGGCCAGAGCACATCGTTTTTATTTTAATTTAAATGTCACTTAAGCACTACAGTACACTAAATTCCATTTTCAACTTGTTTGCTTCTTACAATTGTATAGAATTTCTAAAAGTATTGCATGTAATCCGCTGGTTTATTACATGTATAATGTGTACTCCCTAATCGCCTGTCCAAAAATCAGCACAGGTGAAGCAGAATCTATTTTTAGAATAGCGAAGGTTAACTCATATGGTGACCTAGAAAAATATGTAAACAAACCACAAGAATCGGAAGTAGAACTGATATTATAACTTCCTTCAATAAAGATAACCATGAAAGACTACATGGTGGTAAAGTGTTGAAAAACTCTCTTGTTACATGCATTTTCAAAAATAGATTTGTATACTAACCACTGTACTGTATCTAATTTATTAATAACTGCTGAATATTCAGCTAAACCCGCGGTATGAGTCACGAAAATAGTTCTTCTTTTATTAATGCGCGAGTTATTCTAGAGTCACGAAAAACGTTTGATTTGTTAATAATAATGTTTTGTATAATGTAGAAATATTTATTTCCTACTAATAATTTCTTGGAACTCAGAGCTTACACATTTATTATAGTATAATTTGCTGTCCTACTTTTTCGACAGCGGTAAATGGTTTCGGCAGTAATTTGCATATTGCGCAATAATACTACGGGACTACAACGTTTTTATCAATCATATACGTTCATATCTTAACTTGGATAACTTAATTTGAAATTGAAAAGGCTAAATATGGAAGATTTTAAGATATCCCGACAAAGAATGGGGGTTTTAAAGGATCAAATTCATGTACTATTTCTTGGGCTGTTAATCGGTTGAGGACACTTTGCGCGATTGTAGCCGACGAAATCCCATGTGTAGATGACTTAGCTCTGAACGCGCCTGAGGGCGCGTCCGTCGCAAAAAGACACTAAACAAACAAAAATGCCTCGACTTTGATTTGCCCTCTCACAACCTAAATGAGCGCGTTACCACTGCACCACGGGGAAGTTATCCGAAGAAGTCGGAATAAAATCAAATAATTCTAAATTTGGAATTTCCATTTCGGGGTTGTATTCCTTATTAATTTCGAGGTATTTTGTTCACGATAAACATGTACGCTCTGAAGTATTCGGTAATCTACATCGCTAAAAATAGCATTTTCATTGATTCATCCGCGTAATTTGTGATTTTGCATTTATTGCCAATTCTATAAGCCAACGCTACTTTTAAACTTTGAATGCGTTGGATATTTGTAACAAAATATTTTTTTCTTTCTTTTACATAGCTAGTTTTAAGCTGTTTTGAGAACTACTTGTTGTTTGGTTTGTCGTGAAATTCTGTGCCAGAGATTGAATGCCAGCATTTTATTTCCTGATCTGCAATCAGAAAATTCAAATCAAAGCACAGAGGGCGCTGAATTTGTTTGGGTCTCAGGATGTCAGAAAGGTGTAGGTTGTGAGATTATAAACCAATTTGTTTTTGTATAGGGCCACCAATGCTTTCCAGCGTTTGAACTGTAGTAAATTGACTTTAAGACTAATTGTAACACTGATAGTCAATTCAATGTTTATTTGACTTAAAAATTAAAAAAAATGAGTTGCCTCAACTGGGATTTGAACTCCAGACCTCTTGATTCATAAGCGAACGTGTAAACCCCTCGGCCACGGTGAAGTTATATGTGAAGGCCTGAAGAAAACCATATTATTCTAAATTAGGGTTGGTAACTCTTATTATTTCGACGCTAAACCTGTTGTTTAACACAGACGTAAATAATCGTGGAGCTTACTGTTAGCATGTATATCTGTAAAGAATGAAACAATATTAGAAATGTTCGACCATTCGGGAACTACTTTGCTTGAAAATTAATGCGCCTGTCATTTGACAATCTTTACGCATTGATCTCCCCTGAATTTTTCGGCGTTAGTGTACATATAAAGGGAAGTAACCGCTTCAAAAAGTGGTTAGCCAGCGCGCATAGCTCAATCGGTTAGAGCGCGAGACTTGTAATCTCGACATTGTGGGTTCGATACCCGGGCTGGCCAACTAAAATTACTAATCAGTCTTTCGGATGAGACTTTAAATCGAGGTCCCGTGTATGGGTGCTTAAACACTTGGCACGCTAAAGAACCAGGAGAAGCTTCTGGAATTGGGGCATCTTTCTGTATCTGTAATTGCACTATCCTCCAAAAAAATAAAATGACTAATACTCTTCTGGAGGACTCGCCCATATGGGCAACCGGTGGCGAGTATAAATAAACGCAAATACACACAAATCAAAAAGTGGACTACTTTAGGCATTTGCAATTAACAGCATTTGACTCTGAAATTTCGCTACCATTATTTGTTTGGTCTGACGACCCAAACAAATAAAAACGTTGCATACAGGTGTACAATGAAACATACAGCAGCCGACAATTTGCACTTCTCAAAAAAATGAAATTATCGGTAAATAACCCCAAATCTTTTGAGAATAGATTGTACATCAAACTGCTTGGTGTACAGTTTTCAAAGGATAAACAGGTGATAGGCTATCAGTTATACCAGGTGTTTGTATTGTTTCACATGTATCAATAAAATTAATATTCAGACATTGTAATAAATATTTTATTCTACATATCTACATTTCTCTATTAAGTTTAGTTGATGTAAAGTAAAGTAGTTTGTCATAACAGTTACATTAAATAGTATAACATCAAAATTTATAAAATAACTTCTGTTCGTTTTGCCATGAAAATTATGTCAGTAAACATATCGTAAATGTTATATTATGTATTTCTTGTTGCAGTATTAGCACATGAGGTAGACGATCCAGCCAGTAGGAGACGCCATCTTGACCGCTGTTTACATATCCTTACAACCATGATTTTGGCTGACAAAACAGCAAGGAACTGGAAAAAACAATGTCTTTTTATTATCTGTAAAACAATAGAAAGCTGATGGAATTGCTAAATACAGCATATATTTTGTAGTTTTCCTGTCTTAGTCAATTATTATTTTTTAAACAAAAGCTTGAATAAATTATCAATAATGACCACTGAGTTGCTATTGTATTTAGACGGATTTGAAACAAGAGGTACGATTTTACGTAACAAATCAATAACATTATTATACATCACCGTGCATATCCAGTAACACAGGAATGTGCAATTATGCAAAAGTAACGCCGAATCTGTTCAACGCTATTGCCAAAACGATAACACAGTAAGTAAACGAACCAAGTCATTTCTTCCTATTTGGTACAATAAAATTATTGGTCCATTTACTTATCGCGGTCCTCGTTTTAGCCGCTAAATTGCACAATTCTGTGTTACTTTTGCACAACTCCTGTGTTATTTGCACATTCCTGCGTTACTGGATATACACGGTGTAAATGCAATTTTCCTTATCCGGTAAAATTAAAGTCGGACAATCACAATAGTTAAAGTAATTTCTTAAAATAACAAAAAACACCACCAGGCTCACTCAACATATTTCATATTTCACAAAAACACATTGGATGGGCAATGTTGTAGTAAAGATTACTCTTGGAAAATATAGTCTTCTTGTACAAAATACACCTCAAAGTTCGACCTTGATGATCAAGGTCATTTAAAGGTCAAAGTCATAATGAATAACCATGTCAGTGTTTTTATTAGAGTTCTTTTATTCAAGAATGAATCAAATCAAGAAATAAATAAGAAAAATATGACAATTTAAGCAAGTTTCAATTATCTAACCTTGGCGGTGAAGGTCAATGAAAGGTGAAAGTCATATCAGAATTATTTAAAATATCGGTTTTGTCATATCTAGTCTTAGGTCGTTTTTAAATGAATCACCCTGTTAATTTTGTCAATTATAAGAAACCCGACAGGTTAAGGAATTCAAATATGACCTTAACCTTTAAATGATCATTGACCGTCAAGTTTAAAAGTGACCTAAGAGTTCTTTTGTTTAAGTATAAATCAAATATTTAAATAAATAAAATCTTGACAATTTTTAAGCAAATTTCAAAATATGTTTGTCTGAAGTATAAAGTATAAAAAAATTCCGTGTATAAATAATCTGAACTAATTTCAATATTTGACCTTGACGGTCAATGATCATTTAAAGATTAAGGTCATATTTGAATTACTAAACTTATAAGTGTTCTTTTGTCCAAGTATAAATCAAACCCACGAATAAATAACAAAGTGATGGCCAATTGTAGCAACAATAAAAGTCAATGTCAAGTTCAATTAAATGTTTTATATTGTCTTGTTTTTCCCGAGTATGAAAACAATCCATTCATTATTAACAAAGTAACAGCCAATTACAGAAAAATTACAATAATTTTACGTTTAAGGCCCTTATCATTCATGTGTCAAGGTGAAATTTAGTTTGATCTTCTTTAAGACAGTGTCCTTTAGGTAGTTTTGAAGACAAGCCATTTATAAAAACAATGTTGTAGTAAATTATAGAAAACATAAAGCAAAATGCAATAATATGACCGTCAACACAAAGGTATATTAAGATCATAATCAATTTAATCTATTTGCAGGTTTCCTGCAAGATTTGTTGCGACAAAATATGAAAAGTAACAAATTGATAGCCAAGTATAGTAAAAAAAACAAGCACCAGTCAATTATGAGTCAAGGTCGAGTTCAGTTCGGTCTACTAAAAGATCTTATACAAAGTATCCAAGTGTCCAAGTATGAAGAGAATCCATTTAGAAATAAACAAGAGCCACCGCCGGGCGGGGGCAACGCTCGACTGTTTACTTTCTCTAAAAGCAAACAAAGAAATGTTTGAACAAAATCTTAACGTTTCCTTTTTATAAATTTAATCGGCCTGTCTTGTCACATTAGTTTTATCTATATATTTCGTATTTATAAATATACAATATATATATATACACGCAATTCTATAAATAGAAAAACGCAATTCTATATATAGAAACACGCAATTCTATAAATAGAAACACGCAATTCTATAAATAGAAAATTCTATAAATAGATACACGTGGTGATGGTGGTGGTGGTGGTGACACGCGGTGATGGTGGTGGTGACACGTGGTGGTGGTGGTGGTGACACGTGGTTGTGGTGACACGTGGTTGTGGTGACACGTGGTGATGGTGACACGTGGTGGTGGTGACACGTGGTGGTGGTGACATGTGGTGGTGGTGACACGTGGTGGCATGTAGTGGTGGTGACCCGTGGTGGTGGTGAAGTTGATCCCTTCAATAATAGCAAAGTTACAGCCAATAATAGCCAAAAAATGAAAATTTCAATAATTTGACCTTCAAAGTCAATGTCATTTATGAGTGAAGGTCAACGTCTGTCTGGTTATTTTTAAGGGATTTCCTTGAAGATTACTATGTTCAAGTTTGAAGACAATCCATTTAAAAATAACAAAGTTACAGCCAATAACAGCAAGAACAAGCAAAATTTGGACTTTTAACCTTGAAGGTCAAGGTCATTTATGGAAGATGGTCAAGGTTAGTGTGGTCTACTGAAAGGTCTTGTCCCAAGGGTTGTTGTGGCCAAGTATGAAGACAATACACCAAGAAATAAAAAAGTTATGATCCAGGTACAAGTTTGCGGTCGGGAACGGGAACGGAAACGGCAACGCCGCCGCGACTATAGCAATACCTCTACTTTTTTTTCTAAAAAAAAGAAGTCGAGCTAAAAATGGCCAATACGGCAACAGGCAACAGCTACGGGAACGACAACAGCTTCGAAAAAGCCGAGCTAAAATATATACAGATATAAGAAAATTGGTTTATACATACTTGCATTGTAATTACTGATAAGCATGATATTATAATAAAATCATTATATTTTCCCAGCCATTCCCCAAATCCAATAATACAACCTCTCGTGTAGATATAGTCACGAACATCATTTAACTGTAAATATAACAGAATAAACAACATGTGAGCCATGCCTGTATTCAGTCGGATTACAAACATATGTGAATGTTTCATCACGACAGTGTTTTAGCTCACCTGTCACATAGTGACATGGTGAGCTTTTGTGATCGCTTTTCGTCCGGAGTCCGTCCGTAAACTTTTACTTTAAACGACATCTCCTCATAAACCGCTAAGCCAATTTCATACAAACAGGAATGTTCCTTTGGTAGTCAATTTTAAAAATTGTTCAAAGAATTTAATTCCAAGCAGAACTCTGGTTGCCATGGCAACCGAAAGAAAAAACTTAAAATATCTTCTTTCAGAGAACCGTAAGACCTAAAGCTTAAATATTTGGCATGAAACATTTTCTTGTCAGTGTCTACCAAGTCTTTTCAAATAAATGCCCTGGGGTAAAAATTGACCCCGCCCCGGGGGGTCATTTATTTTCCATATTTGTAAATAATAAAAACTTAAAAATCTTCTTTCAAAAACCCCAAATACCTAGAGCTAAGATATTAAGCATGACACATCCTCTAATGGGTGTCTACCAAGTATATTCAAATAAAAGCCCTGCGTAAAAATTTGCCCCGCCCCAGGGGGTCATTGTTTTTCCCTATATGTACATAGTAAAACTTAAAAAATCTTCTTTTAAAAACCCCAAAGAGCAGAGCTAAGATATTAAGCATGAAACATCTTCTTATGGGTGTCTACCAAGTTTGTTCAAATAAGGGCCCTTGGGTTAAAATTGGCCACCGCCCCAGGGGTCATTGATTTTCCTTAAATGTGTATTATAGTAAAAACTTAACAAATCTTCTTATAAAAAACCCCAAAGAGATAGAGTATAGAGACTAAGCATGAAATATCATCTAGAGAGTGTCTACCAAGTTTGTTCAAATAAAGGCCTGGGGTCAAAATTGAACCCTCCGAGGGGGGATTAAAATTGTTTTCCCTATATAAATTTAGTGAAAACTTTAAAACTCTTCCTTAATAAACCCCAAAGAGCTAGAACTTAGATACTTATCATGAAACATCTTCAAATGGGTGTCTACCAAGTTTGTTCAAATAAAAGCCACTGGTTTAAGACTGGCTTTGGCCTAGGGGCCTTTATACAGGTGAGCGATTTCAGGGCCATCATGGCCCTCTTGTTTAAAGTTACAATTGTATACTACAAAGACAGATTATTTCTTTATTCACGGTAGGGAATCACGTGACTTTTACGGTAACACGTACAGACAATATGGCGGCCTAAACATCTCGCTTTACATGTGTTTTTCAGGTAATTCTTGATTATATTCCTTTTACTTACATACGATGCCTGTGGAAGCCTACGCGGAATAAAGAATTATTGTCGCTTATACCTTATTTTCAACACTGTGCTAAAAACTTTTAAAAACACTCAAAAATTCAACAGGAATTTAAATCTGGACAATTATTTTGCGGGTAACGTTCACGCAAGATTTGTATTTTTTTGGTATTTGATTAAACTATGTCGACTTAGCAAAGAGAAAAGGTTCATAGAACTTCTTATTTAATCAAAGTGCTGCAGCACTGAATGCGACGGACATGCAACCGGAGAGACATTAAGGCTTCTTTTAGAAAAAAAAACAAAAAAACACAAAATATATAACAGAGAAAATTTGTTCCATACAAGTTCGAGATTTGTAGAGCAATATATTTTGTGTCCCAAATTGATATAATTCAGATTTTCTACTTTCAAGCACTTAAATACAGAATGAAATTTATGCCTAAAAACTCTGGTCAAACTTGTAAATCAGTGTCCTTATCGATTTATTCTAAGAAATGATATGTAAATAGAAAAAAAAACTATCAACGAAATAATTATTTCTAGAATAAATCCAGGCAAATAAACTTCAAACATAATACATTATACATTTGAGAATGCTATTTAGAATTGCTTCGTGTTATATCATAGTGGGCATACAGACAATAAAATATAAGTCATTTGTATTTTTATTTCTCTAGGATATGTCTCATTAAAAAAAATTGGTTAAAATCATCAGCAATTAATAGTGTATTTCTTAGATTTTTTTTATTTACAAGGTAAAGATGTAGAGGCCAGAGCACATCGTTTTTATTTTAATTTAAATGTCACTTAAGCACTACAGTGTTTAGTTGTCCTTTTCAACTTCACACTAAATTCCATTTTCAACTTGTTTACTTCTTACAATTGTATAGCATTTCTAAAAATATTGCATTACAATCCGCTGGTTTATTAATTACATGTTTAATGTGTACTTCCTAATCGCCTGTCCAAATATCAGAACAGGTGAAGCAGAATCTATTTTTAGAATAGCGAAGGTTAACTCATATCATGACCTAGTAAAATATGTAAACAAACCACAAGAATCGGAAGTAGAACTGATATTATAACTTCCTTACCATGAAAGACTACATGGCGGTAAAGTGTCTAACATGCATTTTCAAAAATAGATATTTATACTAGCCATTGTACTGTATCTAATTTATTAATAACTGCTGAATATTCAGCTAAACCCGCGGTATGAGTCACGAAAATAGTTCTTCTTTTATTAATGCGCGAGCTATCCTAGAGTCACGAAAAACTTTTGATTTGTTAATAATAATGTTTTGTATAATGTAGAAATATTTATTTCCTACTAATAATGTCTTGGAACTCAGAGGTTACACCTTTATTGTAGTATAATTTGCTGTCCTACTTTTTCGACAGCGGTAAATCGTTTCAGCAGTAATTTGCATATTGCGCAATAATACTACGGGACTACAACGTTTTTATCAATAATATACGTTCATATTTTAACTTGGATAACTTAATTTGAAATTGAAAAGGCTAAATATGGAAGACATTAAGATATCCAGACAAAGTATGGGAGTTTTGAAGGATCAAATTCATGTACTATTTCTTGGGCTGTTAATTGGTTTAGGACACATTGCGCGATTGTAGCCAACGAAATCCCATGTGTAGATGACTTAGCTCTGAACGCGCCTGAGGGCGCGTCCGTCGCAAAAATGTAAATATTAGGCATGTTAAATGTTGACTGGATATTTTCTATTCCAATATACAAGAGAAAAATGATTTGGGTAACGGACACGGGTACTTTTATTGTTGATAACTCCCACATAATATCTTGTGTGCGAGCAATGTGTATGCAGGTTATAGCCTAGATATTAAGTTAACAAAATCATGATTGATGCCTTAAAACTTTCATAGAATGTTGAATAATACTTCAAAAAGGTCCTGGGTAGAATTAAGCCCTGTAACACCGCACTTTGGGGTCAAACGCACTTTGGGGTCCGACCCCAAAGTGTGTTACGTACTTTGGGGTCCAATCCATATGCATATCCATATGCATTTTTTGACATCAGACAAACGACCACACTTTGGGGTCATAAAATTCAATCAATAAGAACGAATTATAGTGATATTTTAAAATAATATCTTGTAGTTGATGCCAATCGTAAAAAGAAGTAGGCTAAATGTATTAAGTTGGATAACAATAGCAGACGATTGATTATTTTAATTTGTTATATCTAATGGTTGCAATTTATTATAATTATGTTTCATATTCAATTAATTGTCCCATAGGATATTGGCTTGAGAGATATATTGATATGCTTGATGTGTATTTTGTGTAATAATACATAAGATAACATATCCATGAACTAGCGATAATTGTAGAAATTGCATGTCATACATATTTCCATCTTATTAAAATCCAGTCCCTTATATGATATAATCCTTTTCATGACCCATTAAAATCTGGATTTTCTCTATTTCTAGTTATATTAAACGGAAGTAACCTTTCTTGATTACTTATAGTTTTTCTATGTTGTAGAAAAAAGACTTGCATTGAAAGGAATTCAGGCTGTGTCAAGCTGCCACTACGTACTAATACCCATTTAAGATCGCTTCCAAGATGGATGCAATATTATTAGAATACACCATGCTTAACAAGATCATAGTTTGTAATCATTTAAATGAAATTCAAGTCCAATTATGGCAGGAATTATTTTCAATCACGTATATTTTGTAATTTTCGAAAAAAAAGACATATCGTCTCATTTTAAAATGGCAGCGGTTTTGGCGGTTCATCAAACAGACACGTTTTCATTACCCAAAATAACATATAAGTTTATTTTGATTCACAGTATTCACTCCCCTGTGCTGTAAATTAACGTTTACATCTCAGTTTATTTTGCAATCTTAAAATGGCCACAAATTAAAAGTATGTCGTTGCGGAAATATTAAAGTATATTTAAGAAAACTTTAAATTTATTTAAAGTAGCAGTTACTTTCATAAAATAACATGACTGATACCTGACAAACGTTAAAATCATGAATGGATGAAAACCAAAATTCCATGTAAGGCATTAACTGATGTGCAAAAAGGCTTGATGTAACAGTCACGTAACTTTATTCTATTTGTGTTAGCTTTATTTCTTATTTACTTGTCACAAGTCATTTCGGTAGAAATTATAATACACTGAGATGACATTATTTGCATTTTATTACACCTCATCATATTTAATATGAGGTTCAATATAGCATCAAAAGTTATCTACTAAATGACTGTCAGGATATTTTTCGAATTTGTAAGTTAAGTAATGTAGTAGTAGTTTGTTATATAGCCACAATAGATATTTAAAGTGGTAAAATGAATAAAACACTTACCACTTAAACATCAAACACATATTTTTATTACTGCTACATCAGCATTTAAATGACACGTATAAATATTGATGTATATATGTATTAACCGTCATCTTGAACTCAACCTCAAATATTTCAGTGTCGCAGATCGAAAATAAGTCAGTACTCAAAATCTAAGCAGAACTTAGTTGACATCTTCAGAACTCTAAAACCCAAAGTGCGTTGATATGTAGCATATCAACGCACTTTGGGGTCGATTTCTTGAAAGTGCGCTGTGAAGTTTACCGCACTTTGGGGTCGGACCCCAAAGTGCGTTTGACCCCAAAGTGCGGTGTTACAGTGCGCTACA